AAGACAAAAAAAAATCAACAGTCAACCGAAATATTTTTCATCAGTAACGGCCAGGAGGAGGGGCGGTGTAATTTTGTCCTTGTGGCTCTTGCTTCTTGTAGCTAATTTGTTTTGTAGGGACAGAGTATTCTTGTTCTCCTGACTTAGGCTTCTCGTAGTTAGTTGGTTTCTTAAGGATTGTGTATTCTTGTCCTTCTGGTTTTGATTTCTTGTAGCTAATTGGTTTAGCAGGAATTGCTATCTCTTTATGTGCTAAGCAGAGAATGGATTATGGATTGATGAGATGAAATGGCTAAGGAGACTAGTCTTATATAATGTCGCTTGCTAAATTCTAATCAATTCTATCTAATATTGTTGGACGCATTACTTGGCTCCACGATGGTGAAGAAATAGGCATTGGATTGATTGTGCTATCTGTAAATTTGATCCGCACATTAAATATTGCGGACCAAGATTTTGGTCAAGGATTCTATGATCAATTTCGAATTATAAATGCCAATTCATATCACGACTATCTTTCTTAAACATATAGGTTTGTTAAATTTACAAATAAATTTTGTGCCCACATTTACGTTCATTCTGTTTTTGTACATAAACAAAATGAACTTAATTGTGGGCACACAATTTATTTGTCCTTGCAGCTTCTGGAGCTCGTAGTATAGAGTAGACCTAAGGTAGTTGTCCTGTGGTTCATGGTGATCTTGACCAAGAACTTGTGATTTAGTAGTGTGTGGTAATCATAGGTATTGGCAAATACTAGTAATGACAACAAATTAGCCAAAGGAAACAAAAGATGGGTGAGTGCCAATGGATTATGGATTGATGACATGAAATAGCGGAGGAGATTAGTCTTATATAATGTCCTTTGCTAAATTCGAATCAATCATCCAACACTGCACGATGGTAAAGAACTATAGATATAGGACGCATTATGTTTTATTTTATTTTATTTTATTTTGTTGCTTCATGATATGTTTTAATAAATCTTGCATCAGTAGGAATTAACAAACAAGAAATGACATCAACATATGTCGTTAAAGAATAAAAAGTTATTACAACATAAGTTACAAATATATATGCTCCAAGCATATAATCAACATATAAAGCAACATTGAGACAAATGATTCAGGCAAGTCAAATATTGGCATAGAGGATAGTACCCTCCTGCCATGAATAGCGATTTTGATTTCCCAACCCACAGAAATTAATAAACACAACAAGAAAATAAAACAAACATAGATATCAATTAAAAAGTTTTCAATAACCATTTTGGACGGAATGGTCATTAGAATCTGGATAGCTATTAGCAGTTGAATAATGAGTATTCGGAGTGTAGATGAGATTTCCCGCAGTGTAATAAGCCTTGTCTTCTTCATTGCGAAGCAAAGAAAGGCGTACGCCATTACTTGCGGTATAGGCTGGCACATTACATTTCTCTGATGGAGAATATTTAGGGTACGCCTTGCACTCTTTGAGATTGATGTACTTATCATTTGCTGGTAAAGTTTCAAGGAAACAACCCTTTTCGTCTGTTTTAGGATGCAAAATGGTGTTGTATGGAGCTTTGTCGTATCCAGTACTCTCGTATGAACTTGGGCATATAATCTCTACCTCAGCTCCTGTTGTGGTAACGCAATGCATAGGAAAAATTGAACAAAAAGGTTAATATCTTCCAAAAGAAATTCTACATAAATTTTGACAAACAATATAAACTTAGCTTTATAATGAATATATCAAACTAATCTTTCAATACTTCACTACTTGATATTTACCTTGAAGAGGGTAGTATTTGTTAGCCTCTGATTCACAAAGAACGAACCCTTGAATAACAACGAGATTGTTATGGGAGTATATTCCTCCATGAGCTTGATCATAAGTAGTCTTCTGCTCCTTACCATAGTATTGTTTGATAGGGACAATGTTCCCTTGTCCTTGATATGGCTTAGTTTTCTCGTAGTTTTGGTCGTTTGGGACAAAATTTTGTTCTCCTAACTGTTGCTTGTGTTGCTCGTTGTGATCTTGTTTATCGTCAAGTAGATTGCCGAGAAGGTTATCAACATCCAAGGGTAGAGTAGAGCTTGATAGATCATTGTCAACACGATCATCATGACCGTGATTAATAAGCTGTTGTTGATGAATATCAACATGATCTGAATTCTGTGTATAAGGCACATATTCAGCAGAAACAATGACAATTAGCAGTGACAAGAGGGCTAAAGGGAATAGGAGGCGGGTAAGAGCCATTATAGTTGTGATATATTTGTGTATTAGTATATATGCTAAGTAGAGGAGAGGCTATGGCTTGATGAATTTGAGGTAGCGCCTTAGTCTTATATAGGGAACGATCACATGATATTATGTTACTCAAATTTCATATTAAATATGTACTATGGCAAATATTACTTGGTTGCACGATGGACAAAGATAGACCATGTGGTTGATTGTGTTATGCGCAATAAGATCTGCAAATTTGGCCTTGATTTGCCAACATTCCCTACGTGCTATTTTGTCCTATAACTCGTGCAATATACATGTGATGCATGAGTTGGGGACGGGGCGCCATCCCTACGTGTTCTCATCTCCAATTCAATTATTTAGCAAACGAAAATCAAATTTAATTATAATGGTTTTTCAGCTATATATATTCAAAGATATTCTAATGTTTAAAGCTATTCATTATTATTTTTATCTCATTTTCAGTTCATTAAGTAAATGATAAGAAATTGTAAGTACCGGTTTGAGTCTTTTAACACTTTGAAAGATAATATGAATAATGCAAAAACATAAAATAAAAGAACGCGAGAGAAATGGTATCGTGGTTCGGTAACAACCTACTCTGCGGGACCACGCCCAGATGATGAACAATCCACTAAAAACTATTTTACAAGTTAATTGGACTTAATCTACCCGAGACTCCCTCTCTAAGAAGACGCCTATGAACTTGCAATTTCCGAATGGACTTAAACAGCAAGATCCCCTCGACTTTTTAACATTAGAATCCCTCAAACTACGTTTTTCTTCTAAAAAACACTCAAATCATCTCTCTTGAATACAAGAGCTCACATATCTCACAACCCAGCAAAACTAATCAAAAGGTGTACAAAGGCTCAAGAGAATCTTTGAATAAATAAGCAAAATGTGAACAGCTTGACGACCTCATCAATTAATTCGTTGAACCAAATATGTTGCAGATCCTTGTTGCAACAATAACTGCAACATAGCTGTCAGGGTCAGCTTTCTCAAAACCAGTCCGAATCAATCTGTTTAAATTCTGAAATCTTTCTGAAACTGATATACGAATCTGGATACATTCCAAAGAGATAGAGGACGATCATCCAGCTACGAAAACTCAATCAAATATCAATCAAATCACCAATTATCAATTTACCATCTTTAGATCAATAGTTGACTTTCAAAAACAGAAACTATATTCAGTTTTCAGATCTTACAGAAACCTAAAGAACTTATCAGCTGCAAATCTATTCTCAAACAAAATCAACCAGCCAATCATTCTCAAAATAATACCAATCATAAAGCGATTTAAATCAATACAGAATTTGGGAAACAAATCCCAACATAAATGATAACTAGCTAGAATCAGAGATTACTGGCACGTCCTCAATTGTTATCGTCTTGATGTTGCATTGACTTACACATTCGATAACTTATTTAAAGGAGTTAACGGAGTTTTTTTTTTTTTAAGGGAGGACTTAACAGCGTTAGAGGATAATTAGGACTAATCATCTCCCTAAATGAGCAGGTGATCTGTTTCTGTCACATAAAGAGCAAGGACCATTCTGCAAATTTCCAACATAAATTCAGATCAAGCAACCTTCTTTTCTTTAATTTTTACCCACTGACAGAGATCCTTACGTCAAGACATGGTTCACAAATTAAGGTATACGTGATATATTGGTTGCCGATTCCCCATTTTGAGGTGATTTCTTATATTCAATTAAAAATAAAATGATAAAGAAGTAATGAAGGCGATAGACAACATTAATATAATCAAAGCTTTGGCAGCTTTGATTTCAATTTCACAGGTTCGATTTTATTGTACAATGTAAAGAAAAATCGCACGGTTCAGATTTTCAAATCTGAGTCCTTTTTTTTTTTTTTTTGGGATTTGAGAAAAGGGGCGCGAAGGCCGCTTGAGGTGGTACGAGCATGTCTAACGTAGACCGTTAGAAGCACCAGTTCGTGTTTAGGAGGACATTCTTATACCTAATACTAGGAGAGGGAGGAGTAAACTACGAATTACGTGGACCAAAATAGTTAGGAAAGACATTCTAGATTTAGGCCTTCAGGAAAGTTTAATTTCGAACGAAGCTGCGTGAAAAAGTGAAATTCATATAGCCGACCCCAATTAAGTTGGGATTAAGGCTTCTTGTTGTTGTTGTTGTTGTTGTATATGAGAAAAAGGATTAATGAACATTTTTTTTTTCAAATAAGAATTAATGTGTTGAGATTTAGATAACTTATAAAATATGTATAAAGACATTGAATTGGTCTCTTTAGTCACTGTTAATCTCTCTAATGTTTAGGTTATTCCAAACCCAGTCAACTCATATTACACCTATGTCGACAAAACAATTTCCCACACCCAAATGGTGCCGCAACCGCACCATAGTTAAAACAATTTAGTAGCATGTTGGTTGTATGAGTAAATTTTCCGATGCTAATTAGACGTCAATAATTCTCTCTAAAAAGCGCAGTAGATTACTAAAACCAACGGTTATAAAAATTATTTTTAAAGCAAAAAAAAAAAAGGGAAAGAACCAATAATAGTATCAAAACAAAGAGGATAAAGAATTTATACATATTAATGGCAATATCATCAAACTTCGTTATGCTCTAATGATCAGCTTATACATGGTTGATGCATATATGAGTACACAACTTAATTGTAACAAATTATTAACAATCTCTCAATCGTAGAAAAAACGTTTAAAAGATACAAGTATAATCAAATTAGGCACGGTGGAAATACATAAAATGAACTAATAATGGCCATCAGGGACTGAAGAAGATTCCGAGGTATAGATGAAAGGTTCAATGGTATACAGCGTCATCAACTTCTCCGGTAGGAAGCGAGGCGACGAGAGGAGTGCGCCGGTGATGCCATTGTTATAGTCAGTTGGGACATTGCAAGTCTCCAGGGGAGAGTTTTCTAGGAAAGCCCTGCACTCTTTGAGCTTCAACTTGTCTGATCCGATTACCTCCGAAAGCAAAAACGTGGCGAAGAAGAAACCATTTTCATTCGTCTCATGGCTTTCAGTGTAGAAAGGAGCTGCCTCATATCCATTCTCGTCCTCCGCTAGACAAGTTATCCTTGCCACAGCTCCTATACATACATCGTTAATTGGAAGGAGAAAAAAAAAGAATTTTATAATAAGTGTGTATAACAAAGATTTACCGGCTAGAGCGTATTTATTGTTTGCTGATTGGCATAAAATGAGCCCTCGAATGCCAATATTGTTGATATATTTATCATCATGATGATCATGACCATAATAGTACTGATTTGGTGAATTCGTCGGGACATATTCTTGGTGATAATTTGGTTGAATATTCTCTTCTAAACCTTCTGATTCGGGTTTTTCATGATCATTATAAGGAGGAAGTGGAACTTGTTTTTCTTCTGGTTTTGGTTTTCGGAGTTCTGGTTTTGGAGCGTATTCATAGCCAATGGCATAGGCAAGAAATAGTGAGGACAAAAGAAGCATAAAGGTAAGGCAGGAGGAGATATTGGAGCGATCCATTGCTCTAATGATACGTGTTTTGAAGGATTCTATAATATAATGTTGGAACATGACCATTTTATAGGATAAAATCAGTCCATAAATATATATTGTTACATATATATTTTGTGTCAAAAAAATATATATAGGTTTCGTATTGGAGAGGAGAGACTAACATGGTTGCACGTTGCCAAACAGGCAAACATATTTTAAAATGTTATTCACAGACATATCAGAAGTTCTGACAGAGCATTTAGAATATTGTGTTCATCATGTATATAAGAATATGTAACGCTTATTTTCTTAAAATAAAAAAAAAGGTATAATTCTTATTGTAATATTATAATATACTCCGACGTGGGTATTAAATATGGCCATACAGGCAGGTCCTCTCCACGTCATGGAGCCAATAATCAGTAAAAAAAATTGTTAAATTTATTCATAGAATGTGTGAGTCTAATTTTATCTATTACTCTTGATTAATATTTTTTTGACGATTATATTTATTTAACTAAAAAAAGTATTAATAAAGACTAAAAAGTAAAAATCTAAACTCGTACAATTTAAAAGTATTTGTCTCATTTTCTTATTTAATAACAAGTAGCCGCACTAGTACTTTTTCTGGTAAACTGCAGTTTAAATTAAGCTATATGTATATCTATGAGATGAGAAATTTAATTTGTGTCAAAAAGTCTTAAGCTATATGTATATATATATATA